GAGAAAACGAGCGTGCCGTGGCATGTTGAAATACCCAAAGCATTAGCTAAGTCGTTCACTCTGCCAGAACCCTCCCTTTAACTCAAACAACACACAAAGGTCACTCACTGCGTTGTGTCTGTCTGTTTGGCTGCATGTTGAGTCTCTACGTGTCCCATTACATAAGGTTTATAATATTCCTCCCGGCAAACTCAAAATGAGTAGTGACATGAAAGAGACACACAGGATTGACGTGTGAGAAGTCAAATTTGACGATTTCTTTACAATGTGCTTCAGCTAGTTGAGCCACCGAGACAACATGCACATTTGCCTATTTGTGACTTGACTTTTATTTTTTAAAGCATCATTAGACTTTTAAATCATTAGCATCTAAACCTAAATGAATGACACACTCACTGTGTCCTTTTGTGTGGGTTTGGTCTTCCCAGGAACAGTCTTACTAAGAAATATGCTGATAACATTCATCACCTGTTTGTTTGTTGAAAAGATTAGGTCATTTCCTGTCAGTCAGCACCTCAGTGGTTTTAGTTGTAGATAACTGTTAAACTAAAAGTCGACCAACCGTGCGCTGCAGGCGTAGATGTAGTTGTCACTTGTTCTTCAATGTGTCTTTCATTTTATCTGCGTAACCATGCAACTGTGCATGCCATTCGGTCTGTATGTCACACTGTATGATTGTGTGTGTGTGTGTGTGTGCGTGTGCGCCTGTTGCGAGCGTGTTTCCATTTGCTGGTATCAAGGAGTATGTCAAAATAACACCTGTCGTCTTCACAGGAGATTTCTGAGTGCACCAGCATGGCACAGCGAGGCTCAAACACATACGAGGTGTGTTTCCATCCAACCGCCAGGGCACAATTTCCAAGAGTTGCGAGAACCCCCCCACAAACTTTCTTTTCTAACGTTTAGTTGAGGTTGCTCTTGTATTAGCTGGTTTGAAATGAGATGAGGCTGAATTCCATTTAGCTGCTTCATTTTCAGGGTCCCTGTGTTGTATGTGCTGTCATGTCTTGAATATAATGGAAACACCATTAATGTTATTGTGCTAAATGTATGCTGTGAAAAAGGCCTGTTATAGTTTCAATTTCAGATTGAGAAGTTTTGAGACATGTTAAAGGTCGAGTGTGTAACATTTAGAAATGTAATATAATATTCATAGGTATGTTTTCATTAGTGTATGATCACCTTTTTGTTACCTCTTAGGATAAGCTGTTTTTATCTACAGATATGTTTATCCACCGAGCCACCATGTTGAACCACTACAGTGGTCTACTGTAGCCCAGAACAGACAGACCACACACTGGATAGGGGACGTGACGACCGTAGTTGGACCTTTAAGATGTGATTATATATATGTATCTTTGATCTTTAAACATAGATTAGCCTAGCACATAGCATATCTGAGTTCAGGAAAGGAAGAAGTTGAGCGAGGTTCCAGAAGGGGCGGGGCTTGTGGAGGTCAAACCTCTAACAGCTGTGAATTAAACTGACCTCATACTGCACATTACAGACACCTTTAACAGGTTCAATAAAACTCTAGAGAGCCATTTGTTTATAGGCTTCATGCTGGTGGCAGGATGATAAAGGCAGTTCTGGTGCTGGTGGCAGGATGATAAAGGCAGTTCTGGGTGGACCGGCGTCACAGTGGTGAGCAGGTAAACATACCTGCAGAGGGAGTGGTTGGGAGTGGACTCATTACCTGATGTAAGAATAATAGTTTATGCTCAGACAGGTCTGAGATATGCTGCTTCCCACAGTCTGACGACCTACTGCAGCTCACAATGCTCCACTGCTAACAGAAACACCACTGATCGATTGATTGATTGATGTATTGATTCTCCAGAGAGGATGACCAGTGATTATTACCCGTATTCCAAGGTAAAGCTCCTTTTATCTGTCTGTGTTGTATATAATCTGTGCGGCTACAGCTCAGGACTGGACCGGCCTCTGTGGGTTAATGTTCAAGTTCCAGACTATTAAACTATCAGTTACACAACGACATGATAAGATTTCTCTCCTCGAGGAGCTTGTTACAGTGTGGGAGGCCTGATCCAGGGTCAGTACAGAGCAAACTGCTACTAATACTAATGCAAGGCAGTACTGGTACCACTGTGTGATACATACTGGATGTTTTATTAAGTATTAAAGTCCACATGAAACAGAAATCAGAGCTGTTTGCTTCCATGTTTCTGTATTTTCTGTAAAAACAGGAACTAGCATTAGCAGCAGCTAGCATTATAGCGCACCCATTAGCTGACTGGAGTAAAGCACTGAGGTGGTTTTATTGCCGGGTTTGGCTCCTGCCACCCTGAGGCTAGGTCGGCTAATGTTAGCTGACAGTTAGCTTCTTCTAGCAACGAGTCCATCAGGAAACTCCAATAATCACCTCGGTACCGCCGTGGTCCGACTGTCCTCTGTCGGTCTCTGAGGTTGAGTTCACTGGGAGGCTGCTGAGCCCCGTTACGTTGCTAACGCTAACAGCAGCTACATTAGCAGTCAGCAGAGTTGAGGCGGAGGACGTCAGAATAACTGATAAAGTTGTGTTTGTACAGTAAAAATAAAGTTGTGTTTGTACAGTAATCAGTGAGCTCCCTCCTTATAGCTGATTATTAATGCTACTTATGCTAATTGTCCTGCTGGGGACAATAAACTTTGTACTTAGTTCTGTGTCACGTTGCAGGTCGACTGTGATGGTGAATGAATGAATTAATAATAATAATAATATTTTATTAATGTTTTACAAGATGTATATTCAAATTACAATTTTGATCAATAATATAAAGCATTATATAGATAATGTGTGCAACATATCGAATGTAAATATGAACGATGTCTCCATTATCACTAACACTTCCAGCAGTGTGACCCCTCATACAGCGACTGATCAATGAGCCTGAAGCAACGAAGGGTTTCTTGTTATAGCTTCGCTTTGTCCAATTAGTGCCTGCAGTCAATCAATAATCAATAATAATATATAATAATAATAATAATAAATATAATAATAATCTAACCTTTTTAATTTCAAAGTTCACTGCACAGCGACAAATAGCACAATATTTAATCTTTAGATCACACTGGAGTTTGCTAAAGTACAAAGTGTGCAAATCGGCCAAAAATGTTCATACATATCGATGAAACGTGTCAGTTTAGGGGTCGTGGTCTTGTTGCCATACGTGAGATACTGCCCCCTAAAGGCTGACAGCAGTAACTGCGCTCACTGCGCTTCGGTGGATTTTATAGTTAATTATTTTCTCTGAAGTTAGAAACATTTTATATATATATGATGAGTTCAGTCTCTGATGGACGCAGCAACCACTGCTCTCTCTGGGTCATCTGGGGACCGTGTGTGGGCCGCGACCCTCATGTTGAGAAGCTGTTGCAGTGCTCTGAGGATCCAGTTGGTGTGTGAGTGTACAGTAGATAACACACAGGAAGTAGAGACTCTTTAGTCTCTACTTCGGTTTCTGGAACAATTCTCCTCTTTTTACCGCGGCGGACATTAAGGGAGCACCGGCGGGGAAACACCGACCACACCGACCGAAACTCTTCCGGGGACACCTGCCCGCTCCCTGCCCGCTCCACCGGGGACACCTGCCCGCTCCACCGGGG